ACAAAACCAATGGTTGACTGCGGAAGGTTCCGCAGTCAATCAATTATGCTGGTCCGCTTGAGTACATGTTGTTTTAATTATATACCATTAGAAATATTCAATAGGACACAAGTGAGGGAGTAAGGCCAACATTTGTTCGTCTGGTGATTGTAATCAGAGGTTTTATGGATGGACATATGAGGATAATGACGGCCGATGTCAATCATGTGGTCATTATGCACTAACCCCAGCATTAGAGTCCAGGTAAGCATGGGTCTGACGCCATGGGGTCATTTTATTGATTGACTGCGGAACCTTCCGCAGTCAACCATTGGTTTTGTATTTCTTTATTCCGTCATTTTTTTTGACACGTTTCACAGCTTTCACATTTTCAACAATTTCCACAAGTTATACATCAAAACGTTCCACATGTTTGGGAGATTATTGCTATTACTTTTGGGACTTCAGCGATTTCCGGTTTTTCCGCAATCGGACAAAAATCTGCATTGAGAATTCTGCAATGCATTTTAATAGGCCCATGCATTTTAATAGGACTTCAGCTCTTTCAGACATTTCTACAGTTTCAATGATTCAACAGTTTCAAGGATTCAACAGTTTCAAGGATTTCAGCAGTTTCAAGATTTCAAGAGTTTCAAGGACTTCAACAGTTTCAAGGACTTCAGCAGTTTCAAGGACTTCAGCAGTTTCAAGGACTTCAGCAGTTTCAAGGACTTCAGTGTAATCATGCAACCTAATAGGGATTTTTCCATGTAAACCAGTATAATGCAACTTAATAGGGATTTTTCCATGTAAACCAGTATAATGCAACTTAATAGGGTTTTTTCATGTAAACCAGTATAATGCAACTTAATAGGGTTTTTTTTCATGTAAACCAGTATAATGCAACTTAATGGGGATTTTTCCATGTAAACCAGTATAATGCAACTTAATAGGGGTTTTTACATGTAAACCAGTATAATGCAACTTAATAGGGTTTTTTCCATGTAAACCAGTATAATGCAACTTAATAGGGTTTTTTCCATGTAAACCAGTATAATGCAACTTAATAGGGTTTTTTCCATGTAAACCAGTACAATGCAACTTAATAGGGATTTTTCCATGTAAACCAGTATAATGCAACTTAATAGGGTTTTTTACATGTAAACCAGTATAATGCAACTTAATGGGGATTTTTCCATGTAAACCAGTATTATGCAACTTAATAGGGATTTTTCCATGTAAACCAGTATAATGCAACTTAATAGGGATTTTTCCTTGTAAACCAGTATAATGCAACTTAATAGGGTTTTTTTCATGTAAACCAGTATAATGCAACTTAATGGGGATTTTTCCATGTAAACCAGTATTATGCAACTTAATAGGGATTTTTCCATGTAAACCAGTATAATGCAACTTAATAGGGTTTTTACATGTAAAACCAGTATAATGGAACTTAATAGGGGTTTTTACATGTAAACCAGTATAATGGAACTTAATAGGGGTTTTTACATGTAAACCAGTATAATGCAACTTAATAAGGATTTTTACATGTAAACCACTATAATGTAACCTAATAGGGGTTTTTACATGTAAACCAGTATAAAGCAACTTAATAGGGATTTGTACATGTAAACCAGTATAATGCAACCTAATAGGGATTTTTCCATGTAAACCAGTATAATGCAACTTAATAGAGATTTTTCCATGTAAACCAGTATAATGCAACTTAATAGGGATTTTTCCATGTAAACCAGTATAATGCAACCTAATAGGGATTTTTCCATGTAAACCAGTATAATGCAACCTAATAGGGATTTTTCCATGTAAACCAGTATAATGCAACCTAATAGGTTGCATTATACCACCAGACCAAGACCCAAACGAAGACTCAGACCACCACCAGATAATGACCACAGACCAGGTTTCCTTAGTTACAGGAACCAAATTGTTTCAGCGGTGAGGGGATTTTTCAGTTTCAAGGACACTTTCAATACATTCAGTAGTTTCAAGGATTTCAACTGTTTAAGAATTTAACCAGTTTCAAGGATATCAGGAGGTTCAAGGATTTCAGGAGTTTCCACACTTTCAACAGTTTCCAGGTTTAAAAAAAGTTTCAAGGATTTCAGGAGTTTCAATGTTTCAACAGTTTCAAGGATTTCAGGAGTTTAAAGGTTTCAACAATTTCAAGGACTTCAGGAGTTTCAAATATCTATCAAGTATTTTAACAGTTTCAAGGCCTTTTAAAGGATTTCAAGGATTTTTTTTAGCAGATTTCCACATTAGATCTGTTCCGCAGTCAATCGCAATGGCTTCAGCCATTGCAAGTTTCTAGTTTTTATTTTTTATTGTACAGTATGTATATCACGCTGATTGCGGCACGGTGGCACACTGGGGGGCGTTTGTGCTACACGGCAAGAAGGTCATGGGTATACGCCTCCACCTCCAGGCCTTTCTGTGTGTAGTTTGCGTGTCCTCCCCCGTGTCTGTGTAGGTTTCCTCAGGGTGCTCCGGCTTCCTCTAAAAACATGCACGATAGGTATGAATGTAATGAGAGAGTGAATGGATGGGGTTGTTCAAGGGCTTTGATGTGCCAGTGTGTTTGCCGTCTTGATCATTGGAGTGATTGGAAATGACTGGTACACCAAAGAATTTAAAGCGTTTTGTGTGACCTTGGTTTTTACAATGCATGTACAGATTACTTACTTAGTTACTTACTGCATTAAATGATATACTTTAAAATGGGTCATTCTACCATCATGTATTCCCTCAGTAACAAGTAGAAACAGCTGTTATCAGTCTGCTGTGATCATGGCTGTGATCCACAAATCTTGTTTTGAAATGTGATTAAAAAAAACATGTTTGAAGTACTTCACAGTGTTGCAATTCATTTATTTTTAACTGAGGACTGAGAATAATATATCCCAAAGCAGAGAATTTCAACAGACTGGGAGGAGGTGGATTTTGAAAGAGCAGAGATAGAGCTTTAGTAAAACTCACTTGCATTTGTGGTCCATCAGACTGAATCCATCTATTGTTCATTACACCTACATGCTTTAATTGATTTGTTTTCCCTGCAGTGAGGAAGTCTGGGGTCGCATCTGTACAATTTTTCTCTGCTCCACACACACAGTCAGAGTTTATATGATGCTGGGCATATGCTGCTGTTGTGACATTAAATAAAGTGGAAGCTGTCACACCCCATAATAGCACTTGTGGAAATGGCAAGAGGTATAAACTGTATCCGAGAAGCAGCCAGAGCTGTTTAATGTTGGTTAGAAATATCCCTGTTTTTAAAGCACCAACACACAGTCATTTGAGCCATGCTTTAAACATTTAAACAATTAAAATATGACCTAAAGTTTGTCTCGTCATGCTTAGCCTCATTGCAATATCGGGAGAGTTGTTTTCCAAGCTGGGATCGATTTAAGAAAGTGGCAGAGAAATGGAAGCTTAAAGTAATATGGTTTTACAGGCTAAGTGTAAATGAATAACTTTATGTTATGTCCCACAGAGGGTGATGTTCCATTAGCAATAGAAAAAGACGTCCTCAGAGAGACACTGTCAAACACAGTCCAAGAGACGGCTGACGATTTCACGTCTCTAGCTGCTTTCTTCTAATATATTTCTTTCCACTGGGAATAATGTGGCAATGTGCGAAACATGGAACACGAGTTATGATGCTCCCACCTGATTCTGTCAGGGCTGCTCCTCCAGCAGCCCCTCCCTCCCCTGATACTCCAGGAGTCTCTGCCTCAACCCCCTCCCCTACCTGTTCCCTGAGTAGGGACAGGTGTGTTGGAGCTGCCTCGGACTCTGCCCAGCTGCCTCCACTCTTCAATCAAGTGGATACAAGTACCTCTGAAGCCAGCTCCTCAGTGCCAGATCGTAATCTCAGTAACAGTGCGTCTAGCCTACTTACCTTATTACTCTGTGAAGATATATTTCTACTAGTGATGGGTTGATGAAGCTTCATGAAGTGTTGAACCTTTTCATCTATTGGTTCGAGAAAAGGTTCATTTCTTGATGCTTCATATGCTCACAAACCTCCTGTTGGTCAAAATCTGTATTGACAATTGAACTGTTTGTGAGGCTCTTGGTGCATAGGAATTAATACTGGTAACAGAAATAAAAATGTAATTTGATTGTGTATGACCCATTAATTCATCTGTTTCATTATGATCAATATCAGTAGTGAAAATGAATATATTTTAAATGACAATAAAATATAATGTACTGGTAACTGGTACAGTTGTCTGCTCTAATACACACACACACATACATATATGTAGATATATATTTATATAAATATTTAATGATGAATGATTATAGCTTTTCAAGTCAAAATCAATGTTATAAATCCAATGGGACAAAAGACATGTTGAAAGTGTAAGTGCTTTTCAAAGGACGTGACACAAATGGGGATATCATTTGGGATTGTGACCCCATCAGTTGTTTAAAACCAAAACATTTCTGACAAAATTCTTTCACGTGTATTTACATCGACGCACTCCCGGTGAGATTCGAACCCCGGTCTCCCAGGTCCCAGCCCTGATTCCCTATCAATTGAGCCAACCAGCTGATACTACAGTACTCTCCATCACTGACTACATTAATCACCAAGACAAACACACAGTTTGAGCGGATCTTCTGCAGTACTTCATGAATCGCTCCATTTCCTGTGCTCCCGAGGCTTCAAACGTCATTAGTGACGTCACTCATCTAAAACAACTCAGGCTTCGGCCCGCGCTCCGATAAAAACTTCAGGGATTTCTCGGCTCACGCCCCGAAGCGCCGACGCGGCACGACCCATCACTAATTTTTACTTACCTCCTTGTTTTGTCGTTTCTGCAGTTCTCCGCTCTGCCATGCCCGACCCCAGTCCTGATCCTGTTCTGGTTTCCTCCCGTGCCTTGTGATTTGTGTTTCTTTTGGTTTTTTTGCTCAAGTAAAGATTTGTGTTACACTGCCCTGATCTGCATCTGGGTTCTTTGCCACCACGTTACAGTACGATCTGGCCAAGAATGAACCCAGCAGACTCGAGCCAACTCAACCAGACCGTCACTGCTCAAATGTCTCTTTTGGAGCAGCACAACAACACACAAAGGCCCTGATGGAGCATATGAAGGAGTTTTCTGTTAGCCTCGCAAGCATACGTAATCAAGTTGTTAATGCCCATTCCGATGGCTGTTCAGCTCCGTCTCCGGGCTCGTCCCATGCCCAGCCTCTCCCTACAAGAGAGGGTTTGTTCCACCTCCAGCACCTTACAATGGGGACCTGGGATCCTGTAAGTCGTTTTTAACCCAATGCTCTTTGATTTTTGAACAACAACCTTTGAGTTATTCCAACGATCGAGCCAAAATTTCTTTTTTAATCGGTTGTCTCCGTGGTAACGCGCTTAATTGGGCTTCTGCTGTTTGGGAAAAACAGGCCCAGATTTGTTTTTCTTACATGGAGTTTATTGCTGCTATGAAGCAAATTTTTGATCACCCTGTCAGTGGTAAAGAGGCTGCTAAGAGACTTTTCACCCTGCGCCAAGGAAATCGCAGTGTTGCTGAATTTGCCATCAAATCTCGTACGCTCGCTGCAGAGAGCGACTGGAACGACGAGGCTCTCCATGGAGTTTTTTTTAAATGCCCTGTCTGAGACACTCAAGGATGTAATGGCTTCACGGGACCTACCGAATAAATTAGACGAACTAATTGATTCAGCCATTAGAGTGGATAATCGCCTCAGAGAGCGTCGACGAGAGAAGGCCGGTAAGATGCCTCTAACTGGATCCCGTAACTCTCTTCCAGTTTTTCCTGCAGTGCCATCGGCTCCGGTCCAGTCCACCACCAGTCCAGAACCCATGCAGCTTGGCCGTGCCAGTGTTGATGCAGAAGAGAGACAATGCCGCCTGAACACAAGGAGCTGTTTCTATTGCGGTCAGTTGGGACACTTTCTCTCTTCCTGTCCTCTGCGGCCAGTAAAAGATCCAGGCTCCGCAGTAGTGGGAGATGTATTGCTGAGCCAAACTAACTGTTCATCTCCCACTAAGCCTAAGTTTGAGGCAACTCTCGTTTTACAAGATCGGGCCTTGACTATGCCAGTACTCATTGATTCAGGGGCTGATGAGAACTTTTTGGATCGTGAAGTTGTTCACCAGCTTGGTATAAAGACTGAGACTCTAGACACTCCTCTGGAAGCTAAAGCTCTTAATGGCCAACTGCTTGCTAGGGTCACTGAACGCACACTCCCAGTCCACCTGCATATTTCTGGTAATCATAAGGAATCTATTTCATTTCATGTCTTCGATTGCAATCATTCGCCTCTTGTTTTAGGCTTACCTTGGTTAATGTTACATAATCCACATATTGATTGGTCCGTTGGGAGGATACGAACTTGGAGTACATTTTGTCATTCCCATTGTTTACAATCTGCCTTGCCTCCTGTTTTTTCTAAGTCTGTTCCTGTCCCTGAACCTCCGGACCTGTCTGCAGTTCCGCCTGTTTATCATGACCTTGGAGCTGTGTTTAACAAACAACATGCCCTGTCGCTGCCACCCAATCGGCCTTATGATTGCGCCATTGATCTGCTCCCGGGTGCTCCCTTGCCTAGCAGTCGTCTGTATAACCTCTCACGCCCGGAACACGAAGCTATGGAGAAGTACATCCAGGAGTCTTTGGTTGCCGGAATCGTAAGACCATCCTCCTCACCGGTGGGTGCTGGTTTTTTCTTTGTTGACAAGAAGGACAAGTCACTCCGGCCTTGCATAGATTTTCGAGGCCTTAATAAAATCACGGTGAAGAACAAGTACCCACTCCCTTTGATTAATTCGGCTTTTACCCCTCTCTGTGGCTCCACGGTTTTCACTAAGTTGGACTTGCGCAACGCTTACCATCTTGTGCGCATCAGAGAGGGGGATGAGTGGAAGACTGCTTTTAATACGCCACTTGGCCATTTTGAATATCTTGTCATGCCATTCGGTCTCACAAATGCACCTGCCGTCTTCCAAGGCTTGGTTAACGATGTCCTAAGGGATATGATTGGAAGATATGTTTTTGTGTACATTGATGATATTTTGATTTTTTTCTAAGGACCTTGAGACCCACGAGATCCACGTCCGTAAGGTGCTCCAAAGACTTTTGGAGAACAAGCTTTTTGTCAAGGCTGAAAAGTGTCAGTTCCATGTTTCTTCTGTCTCATTTTTAGGGTTCATTATCGCTCAAGGCCAAGTCCAGATGGACCCTGAGAAGCTAACTGCGGTCCGGGAATGGCCAACCCCCGCCAGTCGTAAGGACGTGCAACGCTTCCTGGGATTTGCTAATTTCTACAGGAGGTTCATTCGCAGTTTCAGCCGCATTGCTGCCCCTCTGACTGCGCTTACCTCTACTTCCACCCCTTTTTCATGGACATCTGAGGCCGAATCGGCATTCAAAGCGTTAAAGCACCTTCACCTCTGCCCCTGTACTCATCCAGCCCGATCCTGAGTTACAGTTTGTGGTGGAGGTTGACGCCTCTGATTCGGGGGTCGGTGCAGTGCTCTCTCAACGGTCTCCTACCGATCATAAGTTGCACCCTTGTGCTTATTTTTCTCGCAAGCTTTCATCCGCAGAGAGGAACTATGACATCGGCAACCGTGAGCTTCTGGCTATCAAACTCGCTCTGGAAGAGTGGCGTCACTGGCTCGAGGGTGCAGTTCATCCCTTCGTCGTTTGGTCAGATCACAAGAACTTGACATACATCCAGACTGCCAAGCGTCTGAACTCCAGGCAAGCCAGGTGGGCCCTTTTTTTTGATCGTTTTGATTTTTCTCTGACTTTTCGCCCTGGTTCTAAGAATATGAAACCTGATGCCTTGTCTCGAGTTTTTTGTGCAGATTCCACAACTCCGGTTTGTGACCCCATTCTGCCCCCCTCCCGCATTGTGGCATCTGTTACATGGAAAGTTGAGTCACAAGTCCGACTTGCTCAACGGACTCATCCTGATCCTGGCACGGGCCCCCCTGGCTCTTTGTTCGTTCCTGACTCTGTCCGTTCTGACGTTCTCCAATGGGCACACTGCACCCGTCTCACATGCCACCCTGGAATTAATCGCACTCTGGCTGTTTTGAGACAAAAAATTTGGTGGCCTACCATGGTAAAAAATACACAAGACTTTGTTTCTGCTTGTTCGGTGTGCTCTATGAATAAGACTTCCAAAAGGCCCCCGTCTGGTTTTTTGCGTCCTCTTCCCATCCCCAGCCGTCCATGGTCACACATTGCTCTGGATTTCGTTACGGGTCTCCCGCTCTCCGATGGTCATACAGTTGTACTCACCATCGTTGACAGGTTTTCTAAGTCTGCTCATTTTGTTCCCCTCCCAAAGCTCCCGTCCTCTAAAGAAACTGCGGATTTGTTGGTGAACCATGTATTCCGGCTGCATGGCATACCCACTGACATTGTTTCTGACAGGGGTCCTCAGTTCACTGCCCAGGTATGGAGAGCTTTCTGTTCTGCGTTGGATATTAACGTCAGCCTCTCCTCTGGATATCACCCTCAGACAAATGGACAGACTGAGCGAGCGAACCAGCAAATGGAGGTAGCCCTGCGGTGTGTTTCCTCTACGTGCCCTTCCAGTTGGAGCTCCCATCTCCCCTGGGTTGAGTATGCCCACAACACTCTGCAGAATTCCTCCCTGGGTATGTCTCCTTTCGAGTGTTGTTACGGCTATCAACCACCCCTCTTTACAGACCAGGAGCAGGAGTCGGCAGTACCCTCTGTTCAGGATCACGTTCGCCGCTGCCACAGGACATGGACCAAGGCCCGGTTGGCCCTGGTGCGTGCCTCTGCAAGGTCTCAAACCCAAGCCAATCGTCGTCGGACCCCAGCCCCTGTGTATGTAGCTGGACAGGAGGTGTGGCTGTCAACTAAGGACCTCCCGCTAAAGGTGGACTCGAAGGCTGCCCTCACCTCTGTGCTGCCCTCACCTCCGTGCTGCCCTCACCTCCCCTCACCTCTGTGCTGCCCTCACCTCTGTGCTGCCCTCACCTCTGTGTTGCCCTCACCTCCGTGTTGCCCTCACCTCCCCTCACCTCTGTGTTGCCCTCACCTCTGTGTTGCCCTCACCTCTGTGTTGCCCTCACCTCCGTGCTGCCCTCACCTCCCCTCACCTCTGTGTTGCCCTCACCTCTGTGTTGCCCTCACCTCCGTGCTGCCCTCACCTCCCCTCACCTCTGTGTTGCCCTCACCTCTAATAATAATAATGCATCGGTTTTATATAGCGCTTTTCTGGACACTCAAAGACGCTTCACATGTGTCATTATTCATTCACTCCATACACGGTGGTGATAAACTACTACTGTAGCCACAGCTGCCCTGGGGCACACTGACAGAAGCGAGGCAACCAGTCTGTGCCATCGGCCCCTCTGACCACCACCAACCATTCACACACACACGAGACTCATTCTAGGCAATGGGGTTGAAGTGTCTTGCCTAAGGACACAACAGCAGTTTGGCACTTTACAGCCGCAGCCGCCCCACTGTGGCTGGTGTTCCCAGAGGTTAAGTGTCTTGCCCAAGGACACAACAACAGTAGTCAGTGGGAGTCGATGGTGAAAGTCTTGAGCGGGGCTTGAACCCACGACCTTCTGGCTCAAAGGCCAACGCTCTACCAACTGAGCTACTGCCGGCTTTTGCCCTTGCCGACCTCTGTGTTGCCCTCACCTCCCCTCACCTCCGTGTTGCCCTCACCTCTGTGTTGCCCTCACCTCTGTGTTGCCCTCACCACTGTGTTGCCCTCACCTCCGTGTTGCCCTCACCTCCGTGCTGCCCTCACCTCTGTGTTGCCCTCACCACTGTGTTGCCCTCACCTCCGTGTTGCCCTCACCTCCGTGTTGCCCTCACCTCTGTGTTGCCCTCACCTCTGTGTTGCCCTCACCTCTGTGTTGCCCTCACCTCCGTGTTGCCCTCACCTCCGTGTTGCCCTCACCTCCGTGCTGCCCTCACCTCTGTGTTGCCCTCACCACTGTGTTGCCCTCACCTCCGTGTTGCCCTCACCTCCGTGTTGCCCTCACCTCCGTGCTGCCCTCACCTCCGTGCTGCCCTCACCTCCGTGCTGCCCTCACCTCCGTGCTGCCCTCACCTCCGTGCTGCCCTCACCTCCGTGCTGCCCTCACCTCCGTGCTGCCCTCACCTCCGTGCCATGATCAGTGCAGAAGAGGCCTTGTAATTACACATTGATTCGTTTCATAGAACACCCTCAAGCCTTTATCATCCAAAGAACTGAGCCTATATGAAGCCAATTTAAAGTCTGATTTGACATGCTAATTATGAACCGTTTGCTCACCATTTTGCCTTCTCACTTCTCACAAAAATATAATCGATGCATTCTTTCGAGGAAGAAAAGAAGAATGATATGATACAAAAGCCAACGCAGTTTTTCTCCTGAGCTTGAACTGTTTTTGTGTGTGCCAGAACGTGATGAATCCAACCACTTTACAGCTTTGATCAGACTGTAGTATTAGAAGAAAAAGTGTGACTAGGTTTACTGTGAGGAGAGAGATTATTGCTTGGTTGGCTGTCACCTAGCAGCCATGTCAATATGGCAGCTGCTATATCTGAGCGCTCACTCACCGATCGTTCAAATCTGTTGTAGTGTGCAATAAGAAACACAACTACAAGAACATTTGAACAGTAGGAATCAAAACGTATATTTGTAACACAGAATCTTAATCTGGTAACGTTTTCTACACGTTGTTCACCCTAAAAGGGAAATGTGTCTTCTGCATTTGAACCATTCTTCAGAAAATGCCTCAAAGTAAACCATCATTCATTCATATTTTATTTATTTATTTATTTCAGGGAATGGTACTGACAATGTTTAAAACCAGGTTAAAGACAGTTCTGTTTAGCTGTGCATACAACTGAGGGATTTTATACTTTTAGCTTTCTTTTTAATGTTCTGTGATTATTTATGATTTTAATGCTTTCTTGTTTTGTTCAGCACTTTGAATTGCCTTGTGTATGAATTATGCTATATAAATAAACTTGCCTTGCCTTAAGTACATGATAGACAATACAGTCAAGTCACCTCAAAGGAAACTTGTCAAAATAAATGCACAATAGGTGGTGCATGTTTTGAGTACATTTTGATGGACATAAACTGACTGTTCATTTGATGTCAGTTGTTGAAAATGCACTGGTTCTACAGGCATCACTGACAATACTTGACACCATTTAACCATATGGAAACATGTTTAAATCAACTTCAGTAATGTCAATGAAATCAAGCCATTTTTTCCCACTTAACTGGAAGCACCCATTTCAGTAGAGCGTATAGATTTTTGTCTGATCCACCTCATACGAAGGGACCACCATGTATGACCATTCCAGCTGAGAGATAGTCGCTTCACCTGCTTCCCAGAGTCATAACAAAGCGCCCAGGAGGCTTTCATAAGAGGTGTCTGGGGCACTTTAGCAGGCCCCTCTTGACATGGAGGAGAAGCAACGCCACTCTGACCCCTCCTCATGCATGCGTTCTTAGCTTTGGTCATTATACAATACACAATACAATACAATTTATTCTTGTATAGCCCTAGGTCACAACAGAAGTCATCTCAGAGGACTTAACAAAACCATTGAAATCACCAACACAGGTCAGAGAATCAACAGTTAAAACACATGAAGAATATAAAGCACACACAGAAGAAAATGTCCATACATGTTGTAGAATGCTAAAGTGTCCTGATCCTCACCAATCCTTTCTGTTGGACACTAACTGTCCAACAAGACCCTCCTGCATCGACAAGGAAAAACTCTTAAAAAACCCAGTGGGAAAAAGTGAGAAACCTTGGGGAGAACTAGGGAAACCCACAGGGAGGGAGACCCATATGAGAAAGGGATCCGCTCCTCCGGACGGACAGACTAATGTTCCAGGACCTAAGCTAGCTACAGAACGTGGACCAGTGGCCGCTGAACGTGGACAGGTCCGGTGCAGGACCAAAGCACTCCCAGGCGGGTCGGGCGGGGCAGTCCGCAGGTGTAGATGGAGGAGGCCAGGCTCAGAGATCCCGTCATCGTACCATGAAACAGACAATGGGACAACAGGTGAATAGCAATGAACAAACTACAGTCAGAATCCTAAAAGTGCTAAACAGATAAAGTAGATAAAGTAGGAAGGAGGAGAGGATAGTTCTCAAGTTACCATACTTCTCCCAGCAAACTGACTTCCTATGCAGCTTGACTGACAGTCTGAGGAGTTTAGCCTTCCCCGAGTCTTACCTTCCTAACCATATGCTAAACTAAAGAGGACTGTTTTAAACCTAGCCTTGAATAAAGAGATTCATGGATTGCACACCAGGTGTGCAAACCGATCCAAGCAAACCTAATTATATATTATATATCATATACATCATATATACCATACATACCATATATATCATATATAATACACAACATAACATACAGCATAATATATAACATAATATACAACATAATACAGCATATATATATAATATATACACCATATATTATATATTACCTAATTATGGTGTTAGTATTAGATAGCAATATGGCCTACGTGCAGGACTGTACAAGGACTCTACAAGGACTCCATGTTATGACTATGATTTGACTGTCTCTTTGTGACACGTATGTCTTTCGATGTGTGACGTGACAATGACTATATAAACTGTGTACTGCCTTTATTCTGTCTGAGAGAAAGAAACAGAGTAAACCAGTGGAACTTGAGAGAAACTTAAATAAACTTCCAGAGTTTGGCACACCACGATCCGTCTCTGTCTGCCTAAATCCTGACAGATTTGGTGGAGAATGCGCGGCTCCGTGTGTGCCATTCTCTGGATTGTTTTGAGGGAGTTTTCTTTGTTTTCTTTTTCTCGGCGTGGGAGAGCTGAGAGTGTCTGGGGCCTGGGAGCGGTCCAGCAGGCTGGAGAGGCGACCGGCTCCGGGACTCTTTTTCGCTGTCTCACTATATTTTTTTGTGTCCTGTTTTTTGGACTGAGCGTTCAAAATTGTTTTCCCATGTCCACATTCCGGGGATTTTTGACGTGCGATTGGTCTCTGCCGATGGAAACTAGTTCCCGGTACTAGTGAGCGCTGGTTCATGATCTGGGAGACCCGGTTGGACGTGGAAAAGCTGATATTTGGTGGACTTCTGACGGTGCCTGGGCCCTGTTCGACAAAAGGTAAGAGCGGACACCTGTTTATTCAAAGTCTGCTAATTGAGTGAACTAAATTATGGTCTGTTTTGAGGTCCACCAAATGTCGTATATCTATATAGATTGGATTAGGTAAGATTCAGGTAAGCCACCTCGATAAAATGGCAGTGTAATTGATCATCAGGTCCGCCACCTCGATAAAATGGCAGTTTAAATGATCATCAGGTAAGCCACCTCGATAAAATGGCAGTGTAATTGATCATCAGGTCCGCCACCTCGATAAAATGGCAGTTTAAATGATCAAAACAGGTTGCTACCTCGACAAAATAGCAGTTACGGCCAGAATAGTTAGTGAAACCATGGTGTAAAAAATAAAATAATTTTTAAAAAGGGAAACGTGTTAAGGAGGCCTTTGTTACAAAAGCGTTGAAATTGACGAATTTCAGGCTGATAAATGACAAAAGTAAAGAATCAACAGTATTTCAGTGATCACGGTTTAAATTACATACAGAAAAAGGGAGTTTTTGTTTTTGGCGTGAACAGAGTTCACCGGAGAATGCAGAGTTTTATCTAAAGTTGAGCTATGAGAGCTTTCGTGAGTTATTTACATTTTTTGCCGAGTTTTATCTACAGTTGAGCTATGAGAGGGTTGTATCCAACAGTTGTTTTTTGTTTTTTAGAAAGAGATTTTGAGTTTAAATTAGTTTGCTACCTCGATAAAATAGAAGCGTAAACGTTAAAGACAAGAGTGCCTTTTGTTACTAGTGTGGAAAGTGATCACTTCTAGATTTGGATGACAAAAGTATAAAGAACAACATAAGTTATATTCGCTTAACAAAGTAATCTTGAAAGTTCTTCTTCTGTATCTTTTTGCCTGTGTGTGCACATCTCTATCTTGCTGCCGTTGTCAGGGAAACGGCCCCCTCCTTCGCTGCTCTGGCTCTGAATCTGAAGCAAAGCTACTGCTTTTAGGATTTAGGCTTTTCATAGTTGTTATTCCGTTAAATTTGCGAAATTTGCCATTTGAACATTGTGTTATGCCACAGTTAAACGTTTTTAAACACCATTAGTAAATATAAGTTTTGAATATTATATGTTTTTTTTTTAAACCCAAATATTAGTGCTAAAAGCTGTGCAATTCTTTTTAGACCTAACATATTTCTAGATTCCATTCTTTTAAATCTGCTGCTTATTTCTTAACTTTTTGTGAGTTGTGTTTGTTTTTATGTTTTTATTTTAGTTACAAAAGCCGTTTTTCAAACATTTAAATTAGAATCTGTGTTAAAAGTGCTTATTGATTATAGACTTCGTCTAAAAAGAAAGAGGGAATTAGGAATTAGGCTGTAAAAGTATTATTAAGTTAAACTACCCAATTCACCTTGCAAGTGGTGACTTTTGTTTTTGTTTTGACTACACGCCTGACCTTACTGTTGCTGATGCCACAGCAGAGGAGCCTGGTCTAAAATGTGCACCAATTCATACTGACTTCATTTGAAAAATGCTGCAATTATTTTAAATTAGTAAAATATATGCTGAGATAAATGCATAGATAATTAAACACAGTACAAAAGTACATAATACATATTTTAAAGTTTGAAGGTTTAAGAGATTTGAGTTGTTTTTTATATTAAGAGTTTCTGGTGTTAAAAATGTCATCATTAGTAAGATAATAAGTAATCTTTTATTTACATAGCGCATGTGGGAAAACCCAGAGCGCTCCAAAATTGTTTTGACTTTAGGGAGAAAAACAATCTCATTCGCATACTGATATCTATTGTTTTTTAAATTGGCCGTCTCAAGGATTGTTTTTCAGACTCTGCCACACTGTACAGGGTCACTGCTGGACTGGACACTTCCTTCTTCTCCACCTTCTCCAAAAAACTCAAGAAACTCTCCCTTCTCGGCCTCTTGGCTGCCACACTGCTTTCCTCTACCTCCTCTGGCTGTACGGGGGGAGGGGGTTGTTCCACAGATGTGGAAGCAGCATCCCCCATGGATGAGGCAATCAGGCAGGGAGGCTGCACAGATGGCCTGCTGCCTATCACCTCATCCATGAGGGAGTACCACTTCCACGATATGGCGGTAGGCTCCCCTCCTTCTGTCCCTGTCCCTGTCCGTGGCTGTCTGAGCTCCTTAAAACAGTGAGTTTTATGTAATATATGCTTCACAAATTACACACAAAGCTTCAAAGAAACAAACCTTGTAGGTCTTTTTCAAATTCTCCCACTTCTTGGCCGCTCTGGCAGGGCTGATCAGGCGGCTCAGCCCCATTTCCTTTATCACTGCCCTAAAGTAACGATACATAAAAGCATTTGAATACGAGTAGACGTTTTTTGAATAAGTATTCATTCATAATGGTCATACTCCCATCCAGCCGCCGATGCAAAAGTTTTTCATCCGTAGTCGGATGAGCCTCTCCACATCAGTGTCTGTCCCTTTAGAAAAACATTTAACACAATAAATGCTACACGTATAACACAAGTGCTTTAATAACATTAATGACTGACCACCAGTGACCCGTTTCTGTAGCGTTAGCTTGAGATGTTAGCGTCATGATACGCAAAAATGCTAACATTTTTTGCGGCATAACATTGGTACGTTGTTTCGCATTAAAAGGCAATGGTATTCTGACTTCAAATGTGTATTTTGGCAGCTTATCGTCAACAATATATCACGGTTTACACATTTCCATATTTATGATGATCAAAAACTCACATTTGTAGCTCATGTCCCGCTCCGCGTCCAGCTCGTCTCTCTGTGCCTCCGCCATTTTACTTCCGTATAGTGACCACTGCTGCACACTACATTTTCGAGATGCATTGTGGGAAAATTCCAGTGCACTACTTTTTCTCTCTGGACATTCGGACACCCCTACAAAATGGCGTGACCACTATATAGTGCACTATATAGGGTATAGTGTGGACATTCGGATACAGCCTGAGGGATCAGAACAGTGGCCCAGAGTAGACACCATCCAACCAGCCGCAGATCGTAAAGGCGCCATAGCTACCTCCGTGTGCCCCTCCCCCACTACAGGCCGATGGTCGTAGGTGGCAGTGAGACCGGGGCCACAAAGTGAGGTTTTCTGTAGGCAGTGGTGGGTGAGTTGTTTTGCAATCTGGAAGTGTGCCCACTTTGCTTGTTTGCATCACCACAGTGTGACCTTTGACACCTACAGGTGGTTCGAGGAGTCTGGAGACACAACCCCAAAATTCACATACACACACACACACACACATACATTCACACACACACACATTCACATTTACATATAGATACATGAAAAAGCAGAACATGAGAAAAAAGCATTTTAAAAGTTTACTCCAATGTAAACACATTTTTTATTGTCTATCACTTGAATCTTTATTTGAATCAGTATTTTTTGAGACCAGAAATGTTCAATTGAATTCTATACTGTCATGGACTAATTGACCTCTGTCCTGACACTTTTGATTTGTTGATTTTGTACTGTGTGAAGTAATTACATTGATTAGAATTAGATCTGATAAAAACACAAATTAGAGAAGTAAACTGCGCTTGCTTTTGTCTGAGGGACATTAGCAACAGCATGAATAGAAATTGTGTTAAAGTAGAATCAAAGTGATTTAACCATAGAGAGTAACTACTGCATTACAAGCTGTGTACAGGAACTGAGACACTGCACCATTGACCAGAAGTGCATCGCAAATGACCTGATGTGCTTCAACTGAAAAGACTGTATTTGGAGATCCTGATGTGCATCTGGAGAGACCAAAACCATGGCTTGGACCCTACTGATGTCCAAGATGACATCTCTATATGACCTGACCTGATGACGACTGAGACTCACCCTCAGGGGACCCTGAGGACCTGAGGATCTGAGAACCTTGGAGAGAAAAACTGGGGAGTGATGTTTATATTTTTGAAATCATACATTGATGAGTGCTAAATGAGAGAGATACTCATGATTCTTTCTTTTGTTTTTGTTTGTCCCTAGCTTCTGGACATCTGATGATCTATTGGACACAGACATTTGCAGAACAAGAACCAGCCTATGAAAACGTCTGTTGCCGATGCTATTGCTACAACCAGAACCACAACTGTGACCAAATGCAATATACATGTTAAGTATTCAGACATCTGACAGACAAAAACTTTGAAAATGATAAAGTATGAGTATTGTAGCGTTTTATTAGATGTCAAATAGTAGTAAAAGAGTAGAATTTGACTTCCTTTGTTGTTCATAAACACATTTCCACATAAGAGTTAAAATAGTACCCTACAATGTTATCCTTCTGATAGAGCAGATATAATATTAGAATCAGAGTTATGTTACAGCCATTGAAAGTGACAGAAGTCACAAACTAGAAATATGCCTTTGCTCTAGCTGCAACCAAGCTTTGGAGTTAAAAAATAGAGTAAAAATAGGAATAGACAAATGCATCAACCATAGATTCTTTCAAAAATAGAGATTATTTGTAGCCAGTGCTAATATCAAATGGTAAAGGGACCATTTCACAAACATTTACTTCAGAAGTAGATAAAGTTAATTACAGTTTATGTACAGTTTTATTAGATACTTGCCAAAGCTCATGTGAGTGTAGTCTAGATTAATGCCTAGATTAATGAGATAGATTAGAACCAACAGAGATTCAAAAGCATTTAAAAGCATTTTGATGTATTTGTGTATAGCACAAAAACACAATAGTAGATATTTAGATATTGAGAAGTTTCCAGCACAAACACCATTGTAGAATAACTGACCCCAACCCCAAACATGCTAAAATAGATTAGCTCTTGTAAGGATAATACTAATTTGATTAATGATGTACATTCATCCCAAATGCCTGACAATAATATCTTTAGATAATAAAAAGTAATAAATCACTGACCACTATAGAAGTGTAAATGTTGACCATTTGCCTTACTGTGTTCACAGTTTTATTCCTGAGGATGTAGAAGAGAGATAGAACAAAATCCCACTGATAATAAGCCACTGATAATGAGAGTATAATACCACAGAGAGATTTGTTAGATTAAAATGTATGTTTAAGAATATGGCTCAATAGAAGCAAATATGCAAACATATTTGTAAATAGATTAGAATAGTTTTAAACTATAGTGAATAGTAAAAGTAAAGTACACAGTCTAAGATTAAAAAGTGAAAATAATACAGTGAAATAAGTGAAGTGTAAACAATTAGCATTAGAATAAAAGTATAGAGTAATAAAAGTGAAATTAGCTTCTAATTTGAGACTCAGCTCGTTTTTTGTCTGTGTTTTTACTTTTTATTTGTTTTGTTTTTTGTTTATTTATTTACTTTGTTTGTTTGTTTTTTTTCCCAGGATAAAGGATAAAATCCACTGATATTGATTTTGATGATTATGAGTTTAATGCATACATTTTCTTTGTTTTTTAATAATTTTTTTAAGTTTTTTTTTAGATTTTTTTTTTCTTTTTCCACTTTATTGATTGATCAAATTGAGTGATCACATGTGATTATGTGATCAAAGGGGAGGGTGTTAGTATTAGATAGCAATATGGCCTACGTGCAGGACTGTACAAGGACTCTACAAGGACTCCATGTTATGACTATGATTTGACTGTCTCTTTGTGACACGTATGTCTTTCGATGTGTGACGTGACAATGACTATATAAACTGTGTACTGCCTTTATTCTGTCTGAGAGAAAGAAACAGAGTAAACCAGTGGAACTTGAGAGAAACTTAAATAAACTTCCAGAGTTTGGCACACCACGATCCGTCTCTGTCTGCTAAATCCTAACAATATGCTAGATTAAAGTAAAGTGCTTTAAGCATGGCCTTGAATGTGGAGACCGTATCTGCTTCCTTAACATAAATGGGAAGCTGAGTCCACAGTAAAGGAGCTTGGTAGCTAAATGCTCTGCCGCCAACAGTGATTTTTGAGACCTTAGGAACCACCAGACGTCTGGCGTTTTGTGAGCGCAACGCTCGACTTGGTTGATACGACACTAACGTGTCTTGGAGATAAGAGGGAGCCAAGCCATTTATGGCTTTATATGTTAAGAGAAGGATTTTAAACTTTATTCTGTACTCCACAGGGAGCCAGTGGAGTGATTTTAACACCGGAGTTATGTGCTCCCTCCTTTTGGTACCTGTTAAGATCCTAGCTGCTGTATTCTGAACGAGCTGGAAGCTCTTCAAAGAGGCTTTAGGGCACGCTGCCAGTAAAGCGTTACAGTAGTTGAGCCTTGAGGTGACAAACGCGTGAATACGTTTTTCCGCGTCACTTTTAGGAAGGAAATTCCTAATTTTAGCGATGTTCCGTAAGTGGAAGTACGCCGTTTTAGTTGCTTGGCTTATATAAGCCTTGTTATTATCCAATTATCCAAAGCTCATGACCACACGAGAAGGTGGGAACGTTGATTGGCCGCTAAATCGAGAGCTTGATTTTTCGTCTCTACACTCTCCTTTTGTGCGTTAAAAAAACATAACAAGATTCAAAAAACTGACGTGGAGGCAATAATGCATGTCATATCATACACTACAAAACACATCAATTATTTAGCTACAAATATATACCCCTTAAAATACTATAAACATTCTACTGTCAATATGTCAGTGAGCCAGACTGACAGGTAATTCAGCCAGTGCTCGATTTGTTCACTGTTGGCTTCATCTGACAAGTGCAGACAGCCAAACGCACAGGGCACACCACTAATGGATAAGGCTTTTTATTCTGGAAAAACTGACATAAACAAAACCAGTCTTTTCCTGACACTACGTGAGTAAAAACTCTAAGTGGCTTTTGGGCTGCCTATTGTGCCTGGTTCCCAAAATAAATTCTCACATTTAAATGTACAATATATTACATAAGTCAACCTAACATGTACAGTAGTCAAGTGTTTTGGTGAAACTAACGCCACAGTACAATAAAGCAAAAGTGACAGTGTACTGAAAGCATAAGGAAGGCCATAACCAGGTACAGTATATAAGCCAACAAAATGAGTACAGGAATTCCTCTAAGCTTCTACTTGCCCCATAAATCTAATTGTATTGTCACAATACAAAAGCCATATATGGGGTTGTAAGCCAAATGATCACCATTAGGAAACGCTTTTCACCTTCATTCACTATTACACTAATATGCACTCATGATATCCGGCCATTTAACCTACTTGCAGTTGGACAGCAGCCACATTACTGCTTTTATGTAGAACAGCCTGTTGTGAGTGATTGTTGTGCAGGTGATGGTGGTGTCCTCAGTCTAAGCTGCAGGGCATTTCTTTGAAATTAAAGGATGGGGGAAAATACTATAATGTATTATTTGAAAAGGGCATTTTTACACATAAGACAACATGCATTAGCTCTTGGCAGTAATGTAGCCTTCATAAGACAGTAAAATAAATCAAGTGAGGCACTGCAGCAGGGAATTTCAAGTTAAGAAAATTTCACCCTATATGGAAATGGTAGCTTATATGTAAATGTAACTGGGGGGAGATCGATGACAAATCTAACCACTGTGGACATTTAAATTAAACAGAACATTGAGCACATATATAAATGATGAGCTCCCGCTTCACAGGCATTGCACACTCTAGTGACAAGATTTCAATAAAAAATACATTACTATAACACCAACACAATTGACATATACCATGGAAAGTGAGGAATTCGTGGCTTATACAACTATCATTAAAAAGGAATAGCCTAACAAATCATCCGTCAACCTGATTGTAGAATTTTAAATTGATTAGCAGTGCCCTCTAGCGGAAAAATAATGCAAATACAACGGTCTGGCTGAGGTGCTAATGGTAAATAATACTAATTATAATGAAGGTCAAAAATTCTTAGTCCTTGAAAATATTTGTTGTTACAGTAAATATTATTTCATAGTAATCTCATATAATTTTATTTTGTAAAATGACTAGCGTAGTAACAAGGAAGAATGGTTGCAATTGGATGTTCATGAAGAAAAGGGCGGGTTTTGTGTGACAGCCTTAACCAATCAGCGCTTGATCTCTGATCTCTTGAAGTATACATAGCAAAGAGACTTGTTTAGAGCTGTCAGAAGTCACAAGGCCTTTCAAACTATTCCACCGACACTAGATTATCTGCATATAAATGGACGACAGCGTGGAAATCAGAAGAAGGTACTTGTGTTTGTCTTAAATGTGTCGCATTGTGGCTGCGCGGTGCTGCAGCTAACAGTGATGATGACTGCTCCAAATAGTTGAGGTAAAGATTAGCTTCTTAGCAAAGGACGGCAGTGTGTCTCAAGTCCTACACAGTCCAACACACTGTCTAATGCATTTAAACTCTGGGACTTATGAAGAGGCAATGTCACTCACTGATAACACGTAACAACACACATACTATTACACACATATATCCTTTAACTTGGCACTAGAGCCACACTTAGTTGCTGTGCTGCTTTGGGAATGTCACCACTGATGGCATGAGGAGTAATGTGATTGTTATTCCACAGATAGTGCAATGAAGCCCGAGTGCAAGGCTCCTGCTATGGCTGAGAACAGAGACATCAGTCCGGCGGGAGCACGGTCCTCCTGCCGGAAGGGCCGACAGACCTTCTGGAGCTCTTCTCACTTCTGCAGCCTGCTGGACGGGCTTGTGGGGCTGAGACAGTCCGGGCTGCTGTTTGATGTGGAGCTGCTGGTGGAGGGGAGACCCATACAAGCCCACCGCATCCTCCTGGCAGCCTCCTGTGACTACTTCAGGTACTGCAACAATACTCACAGTTTTATTTTAATATGTTATTATTATTTTATTATGTGCTCGTCTTCCATGTAGTGTGTGTTATGTTTTATCTTAGTAGGCTCCATCTGTTCTTGAACACATATCAAATATGTTTTTGTCAGTAAACATGTCTTCTTTCTTTCTTTTAGCAAATATTGAGACCTTCCTGAGGTCTAACTGTGCAGACCGGAAATTCATGACCTGTCCTCAAATTGCTTATTTGGGCAAATGAAAATACATTTATATAATTGGTTGTTTATGTTTAATAGCTATGGACATTATCTTAAAATCATTCATCTGAAACTTGTGAAAAAGTCAAACTAATGATTGATATTTAAATGATCTCACCATAAATCCTAAAAGTGAAAAGTAATACATTGAATCCAAGTGAATTTGAGCTGTATATTAGTAATTGTTATACATAAAAAAAAAAAAAGTTTTGACATTGTAGATATCCTTGTATTAAAAAATAGTCATACTTAAACACAATAAATCTATTTTTGGTCTATAGGGGGATGTTTGCTGGAGGGCTTCGTGAGACACAACAAAACGAGATACCAATTCACGGACTAACATACGTTGCCATGACGAAGATACTTGACTACATTTACACCTCAGAAATTGAGTTGGACCTGGAATGTGTGCAGGAGGTTCTGGTCGCGGCCACACTCTTACAGGTAATGTTTCTAGTTGTTATTTTAATATATTTTCAAGCAAACGCAAATAACAAGCTCTCGTTAGTTTGTTCTCAACTCTAATTTAAGTACAATATTCACCTAAAACGACTAAATAATAAATTATAGCTCCTTTGCGGCAGATAAACCTCACTTCCTCATAGTTGCATTCCATCAGAGCCTAGGAGTGGCTTCAGAAATGTTAAGATAAAAGATACGATAAGAGATCCTTTAACACTAGGAGCGCCCCTAGCGGTCAACTGACCGTCACTCACTTTATTATGCTAATTAGTGTATTCAAAACAAAACGCCAGAAGTTGAAATTTTATGACTTTTACTAGGTACTTGTTGTTTATATTTTGGTGTGTTTTGGTTTTGGAAAAAGTAAAGAAAACAAGATTTACACGCATTTTTAACTTTTCTAAACCCTGACAGTGCTTCAAGACATTGAATGAGAACAGTCTGACGGAGGTGACATGTCACATTTTGAGGTAGAAAGTGACAGCGGGGAGAACACCTATAATATTCTAAATCTGAACGTAAACCCATAGTGCATTCACGGCACGGACAGCAGTGTTGTAACAAGTCCAGAAGCAATAACGCACATGACCCGCGTAATGCCAGCCATACGCAGGTGTCTGTGTGCGCGCTGTCGCTCCATTCTGCCTTTTCATTCATCATCAATTACATTATTATATTTATACATATAAGAAGGCAATAAAGCAGAATACAATATCGCAATAAAATAGAACAATTAGATGAACTATCAAGGCAGAGTGCAGATCAGAGTGCTCGTCACCCGCGGACACTGCAGAGAGGGACTGTGGGGCAGAGGCGGCCCTCTATCAATAAGGATATAATTCTTATTTCATCCAGATAACACTGTGTGTTATTCTGCACAGCGCGCACTGCAAGGCAATGATTATAATTTTGTTCTGAGCATAAAGAGCACTGCTTGTCTCAAATAAATACAAATATATATACATATATTTGTCTTTCTAACGTGTCCCGTGTAAAATTGAAGATTTTACATTGACGATGGTAGCCTAGCTGATGATCTTGTGTCAATACGAATACTATTATTATTATCTAGATAATATTTCCCACGGTGATTTCGGCCTCTAAAGAGAAAACAGTCTGGAGATGACGTAAGAAGTAGACGCATATAGCAGCGCGAAGACGTTATGGTCCCGTGCTTTTCTAAACTATAATTTATATTGTTTGAATTTACATATTGTTACTGAGTCAAATATAACATATAGTGAGCAACCTTTTAGGTGTTTGCAAAGTTACAAAATAAATCTAGCCTGAAAAGTCATAATTTTGATGGATCAGTACACGCACAATGTGTCGTCTTAGTCTTTTATTTCGGCTAGAATTACAATTACTTAGCATATTTAGACAAATAATTTAAACAGTTTCATTATGATCACGATTCCTTTGCAACATCAAGTTCTGGTTTAGTGAACAATCAATTTGGCAAAAGGCTGTATCAGCGCAAAATACATAGCGGTCAACTGACCGCAGGGGGCGGTGCAAGGTATGTTAAGAGCACGGCGGTCCTAGTGTTAATTGCCTTTATTTGCAGAGCACATACAGGACAGTAGTAAGAGCACACAGGGAGCACATAACATACAATATAAGAAGCTGCTAAGTTTCTTAGCTAGCTGTAAATCAGGTGTCTCCAACCTTTTTCACCCAGAGAGCTACTTTCCCGGGACGATAAAGGCAGAGAGCTACTCCTTTAAGCAAACTTTGAAAAAAAAAAGGTCATATATTGGTGTAAAAGTTAATGCATTTACAATAATAAATAATGATAATGAATAATACAATCTGAACTATCAATTTGATGTGTTCATTTCTAAATCCTTTGGCGAGCTACCTGGAAGGGGGTGGTGAGCTACTGGTGGCTCCCGAGCTACAGGTTGGAGACCTTCAATAGTATTTATTTTATATAGCTGTATCTATAGTGCACAGTTATACATATAGGGCAGGATAAAAAAGTAGATAAAGTGACATTCAGTGGGCATTCTGAATTTGCACATGATTACAGTATTGACTATTTACAGATGAGTTCTCATTGTACAGTCTGACAGCAGCAGGAAGGAAAGACTTAACGGAACCTCTTCATCACACAGCGAGTATGAATGATTCTGTCACTGTTATGTGAAACAAAGGATGTAGCCCACAAAACGTTATTGGAAATTGAGAACGTTTCAATCTCAAAGAAAAACAAAGAAATTATAATTTAAAAACTCCTGTGGGAAGCCAGACCACTGCATAGAAAGTGTCCTGGCATGCTACTTTGGCCTGAAGGGTTAACACATCTCCTTATATTGTTCAAGATCAAATGACGAAAATGACAAATAACTGATAAACATGAACAATATTTCAAACTGTGGATAAAAAGAATTACATAATACACTGACTGACGTCTTTTGAACAGATGGAGATCGTCATTGGCTTCTGTTGTGACTTCCTTTACTCGTGGCTGGATGAGACCAACATTCTGGAGGTCCACCATCTCGCTGACCTGTACGGCCTGGAGCAGCTGAAAGCGAGAGTGCACTCCTACATCCTCAAGAACATCCAGGGCCTGTCCCGGGCCGACGCTTTCAGACAGCTGCCCCAAGAGGAGGTTTTCCGAGCCCTCAGCAGCAACGAGCTTCAAGTGAACAGTGAGAATGAGGTGTATGAAGCCGCGCTGCATTACCACTTCAGCCCAGAGCAGGTGGAGACGGACCAGGTCTATCTCCAGGTCAGTCAACAGGTGTGTCCGCACTTTACTTATACTTATACTTTTGCTTAGTATTTTGTTATTGTATTAATTCAATTCAATTCAATGTATTTATGGATAGCCCTAAATCACAACAGTCGTTATCTAGAAGGACTTTGCAAAACAGTTGATTTAGCCAACACAGATCAGAAAGTCAAACAATTCAAACACAAGAAATGCAATGATAAAAACCACATAAAGCCATTGGTTGTTGAATCTCGAGTGTGAATCACTTCTGTCCTCGGACCCTCCTATATGTACAGTATATGACGAGGCCAAACGCGGTGCCACTGAGGAAAGAAAATGTGTTTGGCTCCTGAGAAGAATAATTGGATTATGTGATTGTAATTATGTGCACACTGTGCTAGAAATAAAAAAAGCCAAAAATAACAAACTAATATTGAGAGACACTGATTGTGGGACTGGAGAGAAGAACTGGCTGTTCTTTGGAGAAAAAACTAAGTCAGGGACAGACAGATCTCCCTTCATTCTCCTTTCACAATGTCTGTAGATTTATGGATTATATGCACCATTTGATGTATTACGTATAATTTTAATTTGAGGAGAAAGTGCATTTTCCTCATGTTGTAATGAAACCGACCAACTGATGGAACGATATAAAGCTGATAGACTTTTAGCTGGACAAAGCAGGATTAAATGATGTGTTGACGTATGATGATCAAAGTGCTCTGGTGAATCCAATCGATTGCTGGGTTTCAGCTGAAGTCATGCAGTGGTGTGAAAGTCCTCAGAGGGACACAAATAATGTCCCCAAATCTTCACGGAAAATCGGAAAATGTTGTTTTTCTGTGGCATGTACAGTTGTGGCAACTGCTCGTGTCAAGTGGAGAACTAAAGAAGTGTCTATTTTCCAAAATGTATTTCTCTAACGGTGTCAATTATCAGGAAAATGAATCTAGTTTTCATTGAGCCATTATGTTAAGAGTGCAACTGTTCGTTATTTCCACAACGAGGACTTTTAGGACCAAGCTCTGGGACTGTTAGAAATGAAGTCCAAACCTTTTTCCCATTTACAGTTCAACAAATGACTGCAATGACAACAAAGGGTCATATTTCACGTCTCAAATGTTGTTAAAAGTAATATTTGTGCCTTATTTATGGATCAGAACTTTCATCTTGGACCAGGCTTCTGTTGATCCCAGAGTAACAAGCTCCACTGTTGCTACTATAACAGTCGCTTAATCTGCCTCATTGTTGAAATGAAAACATTGAACTCATTCAACCCATACAAGGCGTACGCTGTGTTGAAAATAGATTACGCTCCATTTTCACTCTAATTAATAGGACAAAAATACAGCCTGTCACTCCCCCTTCGGACTCCCCTTTGCAACCCAGCAATTTTGTCGACATCATTCCTACTAAAACTTGATCCATAATCTGCCTTAATTGCATAAAAACAAGTCCCATGTATTTCCTTGAACTCTGTGTCTGCTTTTTGTTGTTTTCATAAACGCACCCAGAAGCGGAATGTGTGTCACGTCATCAGCTCAGGAGATCAACATCTTTTTGTTGTGTTAGGATTTATCCATACATAGATTGGCCATCGTGCTATATTTGACATGCACACGCACACACACAATTTTCCTTGCATTTTCTCAATACTTTTGAATGATTTTTTTCTTAATAGTATGTTTATAGTGCTCCAAAATATTGTTTCATGTTTTTCTTTGCGAACCGTGCAGTCCTACTCAGTGTCAATCTAATTACAATCCAGTGGAACAAGATTCTTCTGTGTTGTTATTAGCAGAAGAATTGCCTTCTCATTCCAAAGGAGTCATCTCATCTCATGTTTCATAAACTGAATAAACTCAGAATGTGTTGCAGAACTCAGGTCTAACTGTACAAATGTTGTGTGAAATACTTCATTCGAGGGTTTATTTATGTATCGCTTTTTGCAGTGAATCTTTAATTTTTTAGTAGAACGTTTTCTGAAATGTGTGGGACTAGTGTACAGTATGTATCGTTATATACAGTATGTGCAGCTCTACACTGACGAAGAGTACATGATGAAGTTTTCTTCCATAAATCAGATTGTTACAATGTTTGTTTTTCTTACGCTTAAGGACAACCTGAAAATGCTGGAGACGGTACGCTTCTGTCTGATTGAGAAGCACATACTGGAGCGGCTGCACAGCAGACTCAGCCCGTGTCCTCTGAGGGATCTGGTTTCTGAAGCTCTGAAATATCACGAGGTGGAGATCCTGCAGCCCGTCCTCCAGAGCCCCCTGACTCAGCCGCGCTCTACGCTGCACTGCATCCTGGGCTTTGGAGGCATGTTTTGCTCCATCCCGTACATCGACCCGGAGCCTCTGTTCCAGCTGTACCACCCGAGCTGGGGCGAGTGGAGGACCCTCAGCGCTGCGCCCGGCCCACAGATGTCCAATCAGGGCATCGCCGTGCTCAACAACTTTGTCTACCTGATCGGAGGCGACAAGAACACCAGGAGGTTCAGGGCCGAGACTCGCTGCTGGAGGTCAGAAGTGTTCTGCAATTGGAATTCAAACCTGAAAGGGAATTTAGTTCCTGTTTATATTTCCCTTAACAAGAATACTTTTCATCCACGATTTTCATAGCCTGGCCGTACCACACCATAGTACAAATGACATTTCGTACTAAGGTCTGGATTGGCTCCATTGAGCTCCGTTCACAGGTGGGAGGGGTTAACTTCTTTTGCAGATTGAAACAATTGGATCTGAGTTTACCGTGACGTATGTAATGCGCCCGAGTGTGTTGTTAGCATTTAGCCTAGCTATCTCCTTTGCTGCTAACGGAACCCGTGGGGAGTAGCGCCACAATTTTTTCCAGCGATTACATTTGCTAAACATTACTCTTGCTCCTGCTTCAATTTCTTGATAGAACCAGACCGGATTACTTTACTATCGCATTTTTCGCCATTACCAAACTACAACCTGCCCGTTCGACGCAAACTCTTGACATCACCCACAACTAACTACAACACCTGCCTTCCGCACTCTCTGAATGGTCGGTCGAAATTCAACCGAATGTATTCGCTAACATAGGGACTAGACCCAGACGTTACATGCAGTGAAATGATGATTGAACGGAGTGTACGGATGGATAAGACCAGGCTAGGATTTTCACAATTTCTGATAATTAATCTAAATAAGTTGGATCAATCAAAATAAATATTATATTATTTATATTTTAATATTTAGCTTTAGTCAAGATTTAGTCAAATAATTCCCTTTCGTTTTGAATCGATTTATTGTGATCCAAATTTATTGTAGTTTTAAATCTATGTTTGTATTCTTAAAAGTGTTTGTTTCCTGTCTAGTTTAGGACTGAGGGATTTATAACTGGATTTTGGATCTCGTGTCGACTCGTTCCCTTCATTCTTTTTGTGATATTGTCTACTTTTAGTCCTTGTAACCACCTTGAATGTTGTTTTTATTTAGTTTTAGTCAACAAAAAAAGGAAGGAGTGAATAAAATAACAAATCTTCACTCAACATTTCTATGAACTATATCATATTTATCATCTTTTGAAACAGGGTAAACTAGACTCTTAGTTTAAACTCAAGTGTCCATTAAAACTGCAGACAGAGTAACATTTGTGGCCCCCATGTTGCAGATATGACCCTCGACACAACCGCTGGTGCACGGTGGCCCCTCTGCTGCGGCAGCACGCGGACCACTGCGTGTGTGTGGCGGGGGGTCACATCTACGCCATCGCAGGTCGTGACTATAGCAACGAGCTGGACACTGTGGAGCGCTATGACCCTCGCACAAACACATGGGAGCACGTAGCACCTCTGAAACGAGAGGTATGCCCCGTTCATGGTATCCACAAGATGGAGCTGTAGAGCAGTTGAACCTTCTGCCAGTTCTGAATATTTATCAGTATTTTGACTTTTAAATTGGGATAAACATTCTTAATAATGCTAAGTGGTGCTGGAATAGCTCATGGTCATGTTGTAACTTCAGTTGGAGGGAAGGAACCAATACGACTTTATGTGAAAGAAAACATTTTTGAAAAGTAAAATGCCTAAATTCTTTCCCAGATCATTATTTGATGGTGACACAAACCTGCAATATTATTCTTTCTATGGAAGATTATCATATCATGTTTTTTTTTGTTTTTATATTGTCACCTCTTAAAAGCCCTTTTCATGAGAAAGTAATTAGACCATAGTTTATGTGGACTAACAAAGAAGAACTAAGTTTTTGTTTCCTGTGGATTGGATCAAGAATTACAAAGAATTTGGCTCTAAACTAGGTCTGACTTTTTACACTCGTTACTAGGAAAGATTTTACATCTGCCCTCTACCGCAATTTAAACTATAGGCTCTTTAAAATGTTGAGAAGCCGCGTGAACAAAGCTAATATCAGATTTGTTATGTGGAGTGGGTAATGTCTTTGTGACTGTCCATAAAAGCCTTATATAAATAAAGGTGATTCCCCTCCTAACTGACGGTGTCGTTATGTGCAGGTCTACGCTCATGCTGGGGCCACACTGGATGGAAGAATCTACATCACTTGTGGTCGAAGAGGAATGAGTTATCTGAGAGAAACACACTGCTTTGACCCTGCAGCCAATGAGTGGACAGACTGCGCCCAGGGGCCAGTGGAGCGGGCCTGGCATGGCATGGCCTCTGTGAACGGACGGATTTATGTCATTGGAGGAAGTAATGACGAGCATGGGTATCGCCGAGACGTTATGAAGGTAAAGAACCAAATCTGCTCATATTACTGCACTTGTATTAACAGGAGACATCTGAGGAACAAAGACAACTTTTCAGACTTCGCACAAACAGTTTCTATATTATGTAATTGTTTTTGTGTATGTTTTTACCATTTTAAGTGTACATTCTGGTGTTTTCAGCTGTTAAGATGTAAGCAGGAATAAAATAAACGTATACGTAAGCATACACTTAAACGTACCCCTACCCACGGGTGAAAAAGGAGTTGGAGGATAAAGACATTGGAAATAAAAGGTTGAAGAAGAGGCATCTGTCAAACAGACTGACGTCATGTTGTTTCTCTTGGGGAAGAAGCCGATTAGAGCTAACGCAAACACGCTCCATGAGTGGAAGCCAATTTTGGGGAGACATGGCCCCCAATTGGTCAATTGATAGAGCTCATACCTGGACATACAAAGACATACTCAAACAAAAACACCAGGGTCATAGAGAGCATTAAATCATGCATTCTTTAGCCCATAATGCTGGTGTGTGCGACCCAGTTAGAGTAAGTGAATGGAGCCAAAGCGAGTAGCAAAACGTTGTCCATCTATTTACAGTCTGTATCTACGGCTCTACAAATGAAAGGCACATAATCAAAGTATATTGTGATGTGTTTCAGGTGGGATGCTTCAGCCCAGCCTCTAACTGTTGGTGTGAGGTGAGCCCAGTGCCCGCAGGTCATGGCGAGCCTGGGGTGGTGGTCCTGGACAATCGTATCTACATCCTGGGGGGCCGCTCCCACGACCGGGGCGACCGCATGAAGTACGTGCATGTGTACAACACGGAGGCGGACGAGTGGGACACGGACACTGAGTTCACAGAGTGCGTGTCCGGCCTGGCTGCCTGCGTGGTCCTCATGCCTCCCGCGGTCATCGCTCAGACCAAGAGCTGGGAGAGCAGCAAAGCATCATGGGACGATACGGTAGAAAACACAGAAGATTCTAGTGATGACTGAACTGGGGTCAGTGCTGCGGACTGTCTTGCACTTTTACCCAGCCTTATGAACACTTAAACTAATCTCTTTAGTTTAATATTCTTCAAACTCAAGCTGGATTTACCAGATTATATAAACCTGCATAGATATAAAGACTTTGACCATTAAATGCAAAAAAAATACTTAATTATTCAAAAAATTACACACACAAATTGGAAACACTGCACTGTTTTCTTGCATGTTACTTTTTAGCATCAAAGTGCAATTGCTAAAAATCTTGTACAATGGCAGTTTTGATCATTTCCCATCATTATAATTAATCAATCATTTATCATACTCATCAAAGGTATTATCCTAAGGTTTAACTTGATTCATCTTTTGCTATTTTTGTCTTATGGAATTTTGTTTTTTTTTCTATTTCAAAGTTTCTATTTGCACATATTAGCAAATTAATGCTTACCCAAAATGCTTTTCAGCTTGGGGAGGTATCACCCATAGAAGCCGTATGCAGTAGTGGACACGCTGTGATATGCCTCAGTGTTCCTAATGCACTAGAACAATAGGAATGTTCTCCATCTGCTGGCCATTTGCGGAACTGCAAGCAATATGAGCGCGTTTTCCCTGATTTAACTTTTGTTGAATCTTAACTTCTGGAGGTTTTTCCCCAACCTGCAGATACGTTATGGAATGATACGTTGTTCTCCTATTTCTATTTCTTGTCACTGGACAGTTCTTGTTCACTAATGTTACCTACAAATAAGTCAGACACAATGGGCACAGTTAAGGTTTCTCTGGCTTTTTAATTTGTGCCTTTTGTTACGTGCCTAAAGAATACTTTTGTTGTTAAACCGAAATGCGCTTTGTACCAAATGTTTGTATGTTTATCTGTTGGGTTTTATTTATGACAAGGTATAAAAAACAGTTTTAAAACGGTTACATGTTTGTCTACACAATTATTCTGTGTTTTCATCAAGTTAAATGTTTTGTATAGAAACTTGTATAGAAAACACACAAGAAACTTTGGTCAGCACTCGGCATTTAAACTCTAAATGACGTGTGTTTTTATGTGCGATGTTGATTTAGCCATTTGTTTGGTCTTTTTATTTGGTTTTGGTTCACCTACTATTCAATCGATTGAAATTCTCCTGGCCAATTGTTATGCGTATTGACTTTGTTTATGTAGTCTCTCTGAGTTCCTCTCCATTTGGTGCTTGGGTTTTATGCATCTTGTGTCTAAAGCTTTTTCATGAGCAGCTGTTACTCTCCTCCAGCTTCACACTCCAGTGCTAGCCCCAGTATAACCACCAGGCCACTGCTGCTGACTCTGGACATACAGGACCCCTCCATTACTGGCTTTTATGTTGGGTCCTTTTCATTCAGGAGGGCCGTCCTGGGAATACTTAAGACAAATGTCATGCACTTATGTCCAACTGCTGCTCCACGGAAGGCTTTTTGTCCTCTCATCATTCAACGTGGCAATTAAAAGTACTCACAGGGTTGCGTTGCCATCGTGGAGGTCTCTTTGGCCTTTTTTAGTCCTGACGGTGACACTAAATACACCAAAATTTGGTGTATTTTTCTATTTACTCAACACATGCTGATGACTTGGTACCTTCCATTCACTCCTATTGTACATGTATACCATTAGTGGTATATTGGGGAACCGGAGCACCCAGAGAAAACCTGCGGGAGAACTCCACACAGAAAATTGAACTCAAAACAGTGGTTAATAAGCTCAAGCCTCGGTCCTATTCCAGTGTCATTTGGAAAAGCAGAGGACCATCCAAATCCTCCAGCGTTCTCCAACCACATCAGTGTTCATGTCAAGGCCTTTCTTCAGATTGACTTACACCCTGTGCATCAAGCATCAAAATGTATTATCCCAAAACAATTAGCAGCGTTTTGTACAACAGATTTTTGGAGCCCCCTGAAACTATTTTTAAGCCCTGATACGGGCGTTTTAAAGCCAATCTCTAAAGAACACAAACACTGGACGTTGAAGCTCAAATGTAGCAAGTAATAGGCCACATATTTTTTTAATTTAACAAAAACAGTCTGTATCAATGGTTCAGATTTGGTTCAATGTTTTTTTCTGAACTAATGTTGGCAAAATTCACAAATATAATTGATTTTTTTGATGATGATTATTATTATTATTATTATTATTATTATTATTATTATGGATAAAAGAACAGTCTAACATTATTTTCTACAAGGCAGAAGGACACAGAAATACTGTCAGGAATGAAACAGACAGACGGATCTTGGTGCGCCAAAGCTCCGGAAGTTTATTAGGTTTCTCTCAAGTTCCAGTGGTTTCAATTGTTTCAATCTTTTTAGACAAAATTGAGTCAGCAAATAGTTTTTATAGTCGTTGTTACTATTTAAAAAAAAAAAAAAAACTATTTATAGTCATTGTTACAGGGGCGACAGTAGCTCAGTTGGTAGAGCATTGGCCTTTGGGCCTGAAGGTCGTGGGTTCGAGCCCACCATAAGACCCACTTCACGACTCCCACTGATGACTGCTGTCGTTGTGTCCTTGGGCAAGACACTTAACCCCACTTTGCCTGAAGCTCCCACCGAAAGGACTGGGTGCAGCTTTGAATGCCACCCCCCCGACCCAGAAATGGATTAAGGGGAAGAAAATGGATGGATGGATGGAGTCATTGTTACGTCACTCATTCTCAGAGACACTCAGAGCATATCATAGTCATAACATGGATACACAATCAGAGTCCTTGTAGAGGGTTGTTGTATGCTAGGTCATATAGCTATCTAATTCTAATAATAGTCGTCTCAACCTGTCGCAGAGTTGCACCAGAGCCATTTAATGAGACAACAGAATTCTGGGCTTTAATAGCTTTGATTTGACAAATAAATTGCATTTAATTTGGGGTATTGTGGTGTTACATTATGTCCCTTCACATGTTAATTCAAATAATGTATATTATTCTAATATATACAGTGTGTGTATATATATACTGTATAATTATATACACATTTATATAAAAGTTTTATTATATAAAGTTGTATAGTTTTGCCTCTTCAATATGGGAAAAAGATGTTCAAAAACATGTTCATCAGTCTTTTCCACATGAGTCTGAGTTTTCCCATTTGTATTTGAGACCATATGCTGCCTTGTAATTTTGGCCTCAAATGAAATAAATACAACATTATTTATTTATTTAAATAATTAGATAATTTTGGCCTCTATCATAATTACTCTAATTATAAGTGGGAAAAATCTCTGCACAGAGAAAGATGTGTGGTAAATATAAAGTGGATATAGCTGGTGTCTGGGGATAGGATTGAGTTGACTGAAGAACGAGCACATTTTGGCCTTTTCTCTTTCACAGCTGAGAAAAATGTCACATGAAATTAGATTTAGGGACCTGTAATAAAGCTTAAAGCTCCAGACAGAACATATAAAATCCAACTTTACTTTTTAAATGTTCCTGCTAAGTTGAACTTGACCAAACTGGGAGCTGCACTGTTTGTTATGCTTTTGTTTTTTAACCTAGGTTTAATAATTGTCCTAAATGATGTGAATACACAACACAAAGCCACCTCAAGCAGTACTTTCAACAGTCATTAGCAGCTCACGTGGAACAAAGGCAGCAGGAGATGAGCGCAGCCACATCTGAAAGAGCCAGACACGCCCCTCACTTTCAGGCTCCTTACAGATCATTGAGATGGAGAAGAGAGAGGACTTGTAGGTTGGATGTTGTAGGTAAACATCAGCGGGTGAGCTTTCTTTACCCCCCTCCGTCCCCCTGTCCTCGTCAAAGTGAATATCTGGGTCGGGCTGGGACAGAGACACAACTAGTATGAAGAAAGAGAACACATGGTATGGCGCCGTAAAGATGGCGGCGTGGCAAGAGCTCTGGTGTGTGTCGTCTGGTGCACACTGGGGTAGTCTTGCACAGTTTTTCTGGTGTAAGGATTCAAGCAGACAGAGACGGATCGTGGTGTGCCAAACTCTGGAAGTTTATTTAAGTTTCTCTCAAGTTCCACTGGTTTACTCTGTTTCTTTCTCTCAGACAGAATAAAGGCAGTACACAGTTTATATAGTCATTGTCACGTCACACATCGAAAGACATACGTGTCACAAAGAGACAGTCACATCATAGTCATAACATGGAGTCCTTGTAGAGTCCTTGTACAGTCCTGCACGTAGGCCATATTGCTATCTAATACTAACACTCTCCCCTTTGATCACATAATCACATGTGATCACTCAAATCGATCAATCAATAAAGTGGAAAAAGAAAAAAAAAAAAAAAAAAATTCCAAAAAAAAACTTTAAAAAATTATTAAAAACAAAGAAAATGTATGCATTAAACTCATAATCATCAAATCAATATCAGTGGATTTTATCCTCTATCCTGGGAAAAAACAAAAAACAAAAATAAAGTAAATAAACAAACAAAAAACAAATCAAAAATAAAAACAAACAAAAATAAAAACAAACAAAAACTATTGGACACACAAGAACTCAGCAGATTCAGTCAAAACACAGACAAAAATTGAGCTGAGTCTCAAATTTGAAGCTAATTTCACTTTCATTACTCTATACTTTTATTCTAATGCTAATTGTTTACACTTCACTTATTTCACTGTATTATTTTCACTTTTCAATCTTAGACTGTGTACTTTACTTTCACTATTCACTATAGTTTAAAACTATTCTAATCTATTCACAAATATGTTTGCATATTTGATTCTATTGAGCCATATTCTTAAACATACATTTTAATCTAATAAATCTCTCTGTGGTATTATACTCTAATTATCAGTGGCATATTGTTAGTGGGATTTTGCTCCATGTCTATTCTCATTCTCAGGAATAAAACTGTGAACACAGTAAGGCAAATGGTCAACATTTACACTTCTATAGTGGTCAATGATTTATTACTTTTTATTATCTAAAGATATTATTGTCAGGCAGTTTGGGATGAATGTACATCATTAATCAAATTAGTATTATCCTAATAGTAGCTAATCTATTTTAGCAGGTTTGG